CACACTCCACACTCTACACTTTACACTCTACACTATACACTCTACACTCAACACTTTACACTCCACACTCCACTCCACACTTTGCACTTTACACTCCTCACTCCACACTCTACACACAACACTCCACACTCCACACTCTACACTTTGCACTCCATACTCCACACTCTACACATTACACTCCGCATTCTACACTTTACACACTCTACACTCCCCACTGCACACTTTACACTCCACACTCCTTACTTCACACTCCACGCTCCACACTCTACACTTTGCACTCCACACTCCGCACTCCACACTTTACTGTACACTGCACACTCCACACTTTATACTTTACACTCCTCACTCCACACTTTACACTCCTCACTTCACACTCCACACTCCACACTCTACACACCACACTCTACACTTTCCACTCCAGACTCCACACTCTACACTTTACGCTCCACACTCCACACTTCACACTCCACACTCCACACTTTACACTCCACACTCCACACTTTACACTTTACACTCCTCACTCCACACTTTACACTCCACACTTTACACTCCACACTCCACACTCTACACTTTACACTCTACACTATACACTCTACACTCCACACTTTACACTTTACACTCCACGCTTTCCACTTTACACTCCACGCTTTCCACTTTACACTCCACGCTTTCCACTTTACACTCCTCACTTTACACTCCACACTCCACTCCACACTTTGCACTTTACACTCCTCACTCCACACTCTACACACAACACTCCACACTCTACACTTTGCACTCCATACTCCACACTCTACACATTACACTCCGCATTCTACACTTTACACACTCTACACTCCCCACTGCACACTTTACACTCCACACTCCTTACTTCACACTCCACGCTCCACACTCTACACTTTCCACTCCACACTGCAGACTGGTAACAAGGGAAACATGTACAAGACCGTTCAAATAAACTATTGCAGAAAGGTATTGTGCGTGACTGCATATCCATGTGTTTTGACATCTGTACCATTAACATACGTGTGAGCATTCGGGTTCGTGGGCTTCATCTTGTTTTTTATAAGGGTTTTATTTAATTATTGCTACCCAATTTATATTTGGAATATAGTAATCTCCAATATTCATATATTTTTATTATTCGTTAAATATTTTATTATTTTCATTTATAATTAATTTTATTTTTTAGTGTTTTTAAATATATTACTTTTTTTTATTTATGTTTTATTTAATTTCATTTATGTTTTTTTTTTTATTTTTATTTATTTTTATTTATTTTTATTTATTTTTATTTATTTTTATTTTTTCTTCTTATTTATTTTTTTTCATGTATTATATTTTTGTTTCTTCGATTTTTTTTTACCCATCTAAACCCCACTTGTATGTCGAACCACGACTTCGTTCTGTTGAAGATAGTTGGATAAATAGATAGATAGAAAAGAAATGAAAAGAATAGATAAGAATAAATAAGAATAGATAAGAATAGATAAGAATAGAAAAGAATAGATAAGAATATATAAGAATAGATAAGAATAGATATATAAGAATAGATAAGATTAGATAGATAAGAATAGATAAGAATAGAAAGATAGAAAGATAGATAGATAGAATGGATGGATGGATGGATAGATAGAAAGATAGATAGAAAGATAGATAGAAAGATAGATAGATCGGTAGGTAGGTAGGTAGATAATCAGAGAGAGAGAAAAAGAGAGAGAAAAATGGGAGACATCAATTACCTTTCGATCCATCAGTGGCTTCGTTCTGCCATCAATGATTCACAACAACCAATCTCTCCTATAGGTGTCCTATTTCTGATACTTCCGCCACCGCCTTGTGCATTACTACTGGTAAATACTATAAGATAATATAAATCTAATTCTAAATTATACTGGAAATTTAAAAACTATAGAGGAATATAGGTTTTCTGTACATAATATTATTATCATTTCTAATAGTATTGTAGTAGTGGCAGTAGCAATACGGTTGCAGTTGTATGTGGGGTATCGTCCCTGTAAGGAAGGAACACGGTAAATTGGGTATCGGTCAATATCGGTTGGGGTATCTATAAGAATGATGCATGAATTGCCGCAAAAAAATATGCTTGGTTCAGCTAGCTAAGGTATTGTCTGCAGATTTGTTTGTAGCCGGAGCTGAGTCGTCCCCTGCCCTATCAGTTGTGAAGGTTTCGTGGCAGGCAGGCAAAGTTCAAGGCAGCCCTTTACTTATCTATTCATGCGATCATTTTGTCGGATACTCACATCACACAAATAGATTAATAAATTTGAGATATTCCGAGCCAGCAAGATCAGCAAGTCTGCCGATGACACTTGAATCACTTGAAAGCTGATTGAACAGCTAACGCTCCAAATTCCTGAAACATTGAGAATGATGTACGACAATCCTCCCCACGACCTGGAACTGGTTCCATCATGGGCACGTGGTGAGGCGAACTCTCGACCTTTTCATATGTAATGTTTGATTTATAAGCTACTAATAGATGTTTAATCAAATTCAGCAGCTTGTAGCTTGTTGATCTTTTCTGCGATATTCCCTTTTGGAATGCTCGGTCTTGATCAACCGATCTCTAGAAACGAATCTTTTAGGCCTGAAGTCATTGGCGATATCATCTGTACTGCAACTGTGCCAACACAAGACTCCTTGCCATTTGAAATGCTCCAAGAAGATCTGACTGAGTTGGGTACCATGTGCAGTTTGAGTTGGCGGTCCTGACTGATTCATTGAACCCAAAAAAGAACCAAATGGAAGCAATCAAGCGAGCTGTGGTAAAAACCAATAAAACATCCCAGTAACATGTGGTAAAACCAATAAAACCATTGAGTAACCAGTAACCAACCATTTCTGGAAGCCATATGTTGCCATTCTATATTCTATTCCGAAGTCTAAGCCTAAACTGCAGGTATGGCAATGCGTTGTCCCAATCAAAAACAATGAGACTTTTGTATTGTTGGGTTTACAGGGGGTTGTTTCAATTTGTACATGTCAATACATGTCCCACTTGAACATCACCCAACACTATTGCGGACAATCTCGAACAAATACTCGAAAGTGATGTTCAAAATCCCCAAAAAGGGACATTCACCATACATTTACCATACCAAGCCCTGGTTTACCTCATGGTCACCATGTCACGTGCTCAGACTGGAGCCATTTCTCGCCTTCACATTTGGGCCAAGTGCGCCGTAACCTGATCCAGCGAGATTTTTTTGCACAAAATGGCTATAGATCGAGTCCTTGGGGGCTGCCAATAGACCAACAGCCCCAAAAAACTATTCTATCACTATATATTCCTATGTTATTCATATATGAATTATATAATATATATATAGTATACATATATATCTATATATGTATATGCCTTTCTGCCATTCTAAAAATCTAAAAATACATATCCAGAAAATGGATACATTGCTACTTTTGACCCATCAAGACACAAAACCACCAGGATGGATTCGGCGCCTGCGGCCCTAGGCGTTCATCCACCAGTTGCAGAAAACGTTCCGCAGAACTGGGGTCTAAGGCCTCCAACAGGCGCCAAACGATCGGACCAAAAAACCTTGAAACTACTGGAGCCAATATCCTTCCCATAAACCCTAACAATATCCATGAAAATCTTGGGAATTCTTGGGCCAATTGATATGATTAATTAGTGGATGCTCATGTTGCTGGTGGTGCTGCACAGTTTTTTTTCCGGATGTTGATGATAAAATGATGGCCAAGATCGAGATAGCAATGAAGGAAGTCCATGACTGAGCCTGCTTCAGGAAAAGCATCCCAAGTTTTGGATGCATCATTTTCCACACCGCAGTGGATCATTTTTTTTTGGAGGCTGCAGCTGATGTTGACGACCATATCCCTCACCACAATGAATGTTTATTGTTGACAAATGGACATGACGACGGCAAGATTGCATAGGGGACAGGAGGACTCGTATTGCTACTCAATCCCCATTTGTAATGATGCAGGATGATTTTACCTATAAAGAAGAACTGATTTTCAAGTTCGCTACGTTAAGTAACCAAGGGTATCCCCATTAATCCCCATTGATCACAATTCTTAACTAATCATTAATTGATTATTAACCATTATTAATCGTTATTGACCGTTATCAACCCTTATTATCCCTGGCTGTTTTTTGTCCATTATTAATCATTATCCACAATCACTAAACCAGGAATCGTTATCAACCATCAATAAACCATTAAGACCATCCATCGTTATCATCATTATCTACCGTTATTAACCACGAATCACCAGTATTACCCTCTGGTTATTTAACATAGCCATGGGAAATGGCCCATTTATAGATGGTTTACCTATTAAAAATGGTGATTTTCCACGGCTATGTTAGTCATAACCAGATGGTAACCATTAAAAAAGCAGCCTTTCTCTCAGGTGCCATCGCCATAACTCGCCACGTGACTCGCCTCCTCCAGGAGTTGACCAAGTAGAAATGCGCCATTGGAAGCACCCCTTGAGGCGCCCAGGGAGTTCCATGGCAGATCTTTATGGCCCATGTATCTACATTAAAGGCCCATGTGTGGGGTGAATATGGGTGAATGTTGGTAAATATTCCATAGATGGAGCATCTGGGATAGAAAAATACTTCATAAATCTACATACACACACACACATATATACATAGATATGATATACATATATATAATATGTTATAAATAAACCATGATCTGCTAAAGCTCACCCTTCGCAAGTCTAAGCAACTGGGTTGAGGGTTTCACCAAGTTGAGGGTTTCACCATCATTGCGAATCATTTCAATCCATCAAATATTAGAAGCACAAATTGCAAACATCGATTGAGTTAGAGTGGTGGTTTCCACCAGTACTGACCTGCACCAATAGATGTACCTCCTGAATGTGGGAATGTTTTCATGGGCGCAGTCAACAATTCACCCATCTTAGAATGGGATGTGACAGGCAGGACCGTGGGGGGGTATCCATCAGTATCCCCAATTTTTTTTGGCGGGTTTCATCTCCGTTTCTAGCGAACATGTAGCTTTATCGAAGTCTTGCCAGTTTAAACATTTAAGCATGTTTACATCCACATGTTGCCATTTTATCAATTTGGGTATCACTAGTCTGCAACCATTCTTAAATATTCTTAACCAACACCCATTTCTGACGCATTCTTTTTTTGGTCGCCCGGCCCGCTCTGCCACCGCTGATCCGCCAACAGGCCGAACAATGCAGGTGCCACCTGATTCTCATTCACCGGTGGGAGTGGAAGTCCCATTTCCCCGATCAACCGCCACAATCCTGCCCCAGTTGGTAACGATTGGTAACTATGAAACACTGTAAAGAATGGGGCTATAATGGGATAAACCCTCTACCAACTGGTGCGGGATTTCTGCCATCCACAGTAGAACATGATATGATGGGGATATCATTGGCTAGGTAAGTAACAATCATACTTGGGTTTGTCTACAAGTTGATGCCCCAGTCCGTTCGCCAAGTTGGTTGAGCGCACAAATATCTCACAAAATCTCACTCGGATTTATGATAAATATATATATACCCTCTGGTTATTTAACATAGCCATGGAAAATGGCCCATTTATAGATGGTTTACCTGTGTTTACCTATTAAAAATGGTGATTTTCCATGGCTATGTTAGTCATAACCAGAGGGTATATAGATATGATATAACGAACTCGTTTGTGGGGTGAAACGACAAACCGACAACCCAACTTATGTGAGGTATTTCACTCTGGTTGTATCCATAGACCCCAATTCATCCCATGATCACAGCAAAAACACCCCAAGTTGAATATGTTGAATCAGTAGCAACATTGGCCAGGAAAGAGGCAAAGAATGATAAAAATTGATAACATATGATAAACAAATACAATAACCTCACCAATTTCTCTCCTGCCTTGTGGCAATCCACTGCCAGTTTGGGGCCCAAATTCATGCAGTAGATCCAGTAATATCAGGGTTTCGTTGGGGTGTGTCCCTAAGATGGGGGAAGGGATTCGATCACCAGACAAAATGTGCCATTGATTTAAGATGTCACCGGCAAGAATGGTGAGAAATCACAATATCATTTTGCCACAGATCAACAACATAGGAAAACTGGCGGGTCTCGATTATTTTTTTCTATCACCGCCATCTTCAAAAGATGTCATGACCGAAGGAATTGAACAATTGGACGCTTCCCTAAAACCAAACCTTGGATGACGATTTGCGGTCCGGAAACCCTGATCTTTAATGATCCAAATAATAGATCCAAACATATGGAGGTCTCCTAAACTGGGGGTATACCAAATCACCCAAAAATAAGATCATCCTAGTATTGGAACAACCATGTGACTTGGGGATCCCCATGACTTAAGCCCCACATATCCAAATGATGTCATTTCTGAGCTGCCGACTTGTGCCACACTCGGTCTGGAGCGTGGCAAGGCTTCCGAAGCTCTTCGGAAGTGTGGAGCGACTGCGCCGGTGGGAAGGACTTTTCCAGATCCACCTGGTGATGAGAACGGCAGAAACCAGGGTGCCTCACATGTTTCTCCTCATTTGTGGCTGCGTGACTTAAAAAAAGAGATAGTTTAATTTTGTTTATTTATGCCATCTTTTACAAACTTTTACATTATTTAACATTTAGCATCTTTTGCCATCTGCTATATAGTATAGCATTCGCAACAAAAACATACAAAAACTATGGCGTTCAAAAGCGAAAAACCTCACAGAGTGGGCGAGCCTGCTGCAGATTGTGCATTCACAAACCTCGCTTCAAGAGTTGCGGAAACCAGCTTTGCAAAATCTTTGTTTCTTGACAGCTATCTGGATTTGTGTCAAAATGGGAAACATTCCAAGTCATGCCCAATGTCATTATACATGATTATACCGGAAATTAAGGCAATTTCAATGGGAAAAAATGTGTTGAATTCTATGGTTTTTACGGTTCCAGATGTTATTTTGAGACAACCGCACCTATCAGCCACTGGCTAACCTCACCAAACTGTCGCCGAGAAGCCCCAGACCCCGCAGGTCCGAACTGATGCTGTCTTCTTTCGTCTCGGTGGTTTCGCCACCTTCACTTACCTCACACAAAGACGCAGGATGACGCAGGGCTGGTAAATGACCAGGCTGCTAGAGGAATATCAGAGTGCGCAGCAGCTCATCAGAGCTGTTTGAGGAATTCGAATGCTCACCAAAGCACGGTACAAAGCTTTGAACGGCCAAATTAATGCATTTATATAGATGTATGTCGATGCAAGTTTCCTGAACATGCACGTGCTTTTTTCCTCCTTCGATCTCAACTCAAGGCTCTCTTCTTGAAGCCTTAAGGAGACACCCCTATTGGACACTCGCCGACTTGGATCACCACTGCACAGGATTTTTCTGGGTCAGGCACTGCTGAATTCAGTGCAATGGCGCATTGAGTTGGAACCCCCCATGTCGTCAATCATTCTTCTTCATCCACTCTATGATGCATAGAATTTATCTTCACATACAATCAGCTGTGTCACAAGAGTGAGGAAACTCCGGGCTTTGCTGGACAAAATGCCATCCGTCTCCGCATTGTCATCCTCAGACTCCTTCTCGCTCGTGAGGTGCTTGTAGACCAGAAGAAACTCTGAGATGCCCAGCTGGTGCTCGATGTACAGCCTGAGGGCCTCTATTCTGTAAGCCAAGGAATCGGCCTGATTCACTGGCAACCTGATGTCACCCCCCTCAGGATTCATGAAGCAAGAACATGAGTGACCATATTCCATGGCAAGGCCTTCCTTCATAGCCGAGTCCTTGCAATTCAAACCTTCTTCCAAGGTGCGGATGAGATCTTCGCGCTCACCGGCCACATCACTTTTGCTGTCAGCTTGCTGATGCTTGACTTCAGCTTTTGCTGCATCCGGTGGAGATGTCTGAGGAGAAGCCTCCCGGGCTGCAGCCTTTGCAATAGTAGCACCACTCGCTACTATGATCTGCTTGCCCTTGGCTGGTGATGGTGACCGACCGCGCAGGCTCTCACGCGAGGCAGACCGAGGTCGTGCAAACCCGGGCTTGGTGGCCTGTGCAGGGCAGGGCCTCCGTTCTTTCTGGCTGAGTCCCTTGGGACCCTTGGGCGGTGTGGGAACCTCCGGTCGCGCTGCAACCTTTGCTGCTGGACTCCTCACAGGGCTCTTGGCTGGACTGGTGCACCTGCTCTTCTCAAATGGTTCCTTCAGCTTTTCGATCTCCAGCAGTAGCTGGTGAATTGCCGTGCGCACCAGGGGATCCTGCACAAGTTCATGAACTGAGGGTCTCCTGGAGGGTCTCCTGCGAGGATCTTTGGTGAGCATGTGAGCAATGAGACTCCGCAAGTCTTCAGAGAAAACAGCCGGCACTTGTGGCGGCACACTTCGCAAGATCTTGATGACCAAGTGACGCATAGAATCTGCATCAAATGCATGCCTGAGAGTTGCCATTTCATAAAGTACGCAGCCCCAGGACCAAACATCAGACTTGTAGCTGTATGGTTGTTCTTGGCAGATCTCTGGAGAGCAGTAGTAGGGAGTCCCAATGTATGTTCTGGCACAATCTGAGGTGTTCCGCAGAACTCGAGCAATGCCAAAGTCGCCAAGCTTCACGTTGCCCTGCCCAGACCCTGTCAGGAAGATATTTTGGGTCTTCAGGTCTCGGTGAAGGATGTGGCGCTCATGCATGTGCTTCAACGCCAGCACGATTTGGGTGAACCACCTCATCACCAAAGTCTCTGGCAGCAAGGTCCCTGACTTCTTCCGCCGCTCAATGACCCGATAGAGGTCGCCTTGCTCAGCAAAGTCCATGATGATACACAACAAGCTGCCATCCAGGAAGGAGTCTCGGTAGCTGATGATGTAGGGATGCATCAATTTCTTCAGCACGGAGACTTCGGTGGCGGCTTCTGTCCGGTGCTGTTTGGACATGGTGGAGACATCGATCTCCTTCAGGATGCAGCGTTCTCCGGACTGGTTCCTCACCAGCCAGCAGCAGCCGAAGCTGCCCTTGCCCACCACTTGAATCCTTTTGTAGGATGTCATGAAATCAGGGGATATGGGGAAAGTTGAGGCGAGTTGAGCCAATGGTGCTGTTCGATATAAGAAGCCGTCACTGTGATGCACTGAAACATGCAGGACTGTCATACATGTCTAGAGCTGATGTTACTTCCCTGCAGCACGCTGAAACTGCAAGTTCCAAAAACAAATCAAGCCCACCACCGAGACCTTTCAAGAACTGGTCGAATAGGACCACCAGGCTTCAGTCGAGTAAGTCGAGTTACAAAACGCACCGGGTTGGCTGCTAAGGGCTTGGGATTGAAGTAGTCCTGCAGTGGCAACTGACCATTCAATGACTTCAATGCCATCATGGTATGGTGCCCCTCTCCAACTGCAAGTCACGATCAACTCGACTCGATATCTACATAGATGACATAGATGCTATGAGTAGGTTTGGTGATAATCCAAACCAAGGAGCAAAGCAGTATCAAAGAATTCGATGAGGATGTGTCGTAGCAATCTGACATCCGATGTCACCCAGATGTCCTCCAGTTCTGTTGCTGGTCTAACCGGCCGCGACTCCCCTGATTGTGCAGAAAATAGCCCACCTGAAAGTCACTGCAGTCAAAATTTTCAACATCTTCAATTTTCCTAAAGCACTTCCTCTTTACAATTTTGACACCATCAGGGATGCGAAAAATTAGGGAGCGTGAGTGTGATGATGTGTGATGTCTTCAAGTTGCTGCTGGGCTGGAGAACATGGCGCCTTTAACATCCTTTAAACCAAACCCCCCAGCTCTGAGGGGCAAACTTCTCCCCTCGCGAGGATCAACCCACAACCTCCGGTGTCCAAGTCGTGGATTTCTTCAGTCATGACATGACATGAGATATGACCAGCAAAACCAAGGGATGCACATGGGGGGTGTAGGAACACATCCCCCCCAAAAAAGGATAAAACGTCCCCAAAAACGGATCTCATGAAGGTTCCTCAAGCAGCTGCTTGCAGCTAGCCACGGGGTAGCCAAGCCCTTTTCTTCTTTGCCAAGGCCTTCACCCTCCTGAAACAAAACACGTCCGTTGGGTGCGTGTATGCATAGAACGCCTTGGAGATTTGCCGCACAAACTATCGCCAAACATGCTGACTCACCATGACCTTCTCTTATAATTATATATAACTAATCCAAATCATTCGTATGTCATTAGCTTCGTATTCCAGCATCAAGGGGCCGCAAAACAAAACATCAGGTCCTTCCAACCCATCTTTTGGAGCATCTTGTATCCAAATCCCTCAGAGATGGGTCGGTACAATACCTGGCTCTGACAAATCCGGAACCGATCTGGAGGGTGACGGAAAACTTCTACGCAGTCTGAACGTGCCCGAAGCACTTCAACCAAAAAAACATCAAACATCAATCAAATCTGTGAAAAAAGATCAAGAACAAGATCAACAAACGCATACAAACACATTACTGGACCCAAAAAAACACATCAAAACCTGCAAAAAAACATGGAAAACACATGGAAAAACCCATCTTCTCCCAGCATTTTTTTGTGCCTCCTTAGCCTCGAGTTTCATCCTCTTGATCTCCCCCTTGGTGGCCACCTGCGGCGACTGGGACTGGGACTGAGGACTGGTTTATGGATGTTTATTGTGGTTTATTATTATTAATAAAAATAATAATATCATTCATAATAACAATGGTTTAGTATTATTAATTTTATTATTCATGGTTTATTTTTTTCACGGGATATCTATGGATATCTTGGGATATGAATTGGATGATAATGAGATTCCCGATGTTGAGCCTGATGTGGTGATGCACAATTGAGGCAGAAACTGAGGTGTCGGCTGTTTTCACTTCCCCTTCTTCATCATCTTCCTTTCAGGGCACTGCACATCGTCCAAAGACAATCTGAGTCGCTTCATGTAGCTTCACTGGGTTGATTCCGTTCATGGGAACACACGTAGCAAAAAATGGGCTCAGCTCGACCAAAATCTGGCACTTTGGACCCATTGATGCAGTGTGTATGGCCCTATTGATGCAGTGTGTATGGATGGCGGATGGCCTGCTCCTGACTACCTGGTAGTATTGGAAACTGCGTTGCTGTATGCCCAGCTCGAATCCTGATGCCAAGCTTCGCGGTTTTTCGGGTGGCTTTGAAAGCTTCCACTGGAAAGTTGACAACGTATACAGAAATCACAATCCCTCAAACTAGAATTGATCCTGCCAAAATTCTGCCAAAATAGGGGTTGAAAGCTAGTTTTCCACAGCATCCACAACAATTGGCCATTTGGCAGGGTCTACGTTTATTGGGGGTATGTACTTCTTTGCCTTTGCCTCATTTTTCTAAATCAACAAGTGGTTGGGAAGAGCTTGCGAACTATTTTCCAAGGACAAGAACGGTTTTTGGTCATCTAGATTTATTGGATTTAGAGCCTGCCCGCCTAACACATGTCAGTGGATTGTTTCAAGGTGGAAAACTCATACGATTACCTGATGGAACACATGATGTCCAATAGATTTTCCAGTGCATCCCATCGAAAAGAGATCCAGATGGCTCTGGCTCCTTAGGGCTTCATTCTCTCGTCGCAGCTTTCCCAGCTCCTGCGTCGCTGCAGGTCACGTAACATGTTCCGTCACATCTCTTGATATAATCGACTCATATCATGACATTCATTGACATCTGGTTGGTGGTTTTAACCATCTTGAAAAATATGATTTCGTCGATTGGGAAGGATGACATCCCATATTATTATGGAACATGTAACATATATGGAAAATAATCCAGTCATGTTTGAAACCACCAACCAGAAATTCATTGACATTCATATACCATCATCTTCCCCTTAGGTACCCTATGGCCTATGGCTCGGAGGTCATGACTCGAGTCATGACGTTTTGAAGGCCGTCCTCCTGCAAAGTCGCTAAGGGGTCACTTCCATTCACCTGGGTCACCTGGTTGCCATCGTTGCCATTCTCCTGCTGGGAGAACTGGGCCACGAAAGGGGACGAATTTCCGGGGATTTTGACTGGGATGACTGGGATCTGGGTAAATTATAATATTTCACTAACCTGAATTAAGGCCATTTGGGGATGATTCCCCTTACTCACCATGATTCCCAGGGCTCGGTCGCAGTGAGGAAGTTATAATTTACCCAGATGGATGATATGGGATGATTATATTCAGCCTGGATGATCCAACATGATCCAATTTCTCCAACTTCGGCTGAGTACAGATCGCAGCCTCGCCTCGTTCAGTTTAGGTTTTTTCGTGGGCCTTTCCTCAGACTTCTCAGCATCTGCCTGGCCCATTGATGTTCACCCGCAAAACAATCACGAAAAACATACCTTCTGGTAAACTAACATAACTGTAACATAACTGTGGAACATCACAATTTTCAATGGGTAAATCCACTATAAATGGCAATTTTCAATAGCTATATAACAAATTACCAGAGGGTATGTGGCCAGGGTATCGTTCAATCATTCCTCCATGAATCTTTTTTGGGTACCTTTGGGTACCTGAGTGGATCAGCTCATACCCAATAACCCCAATGGCAAGAGAAAACTTGGTGCACAAGGGGAAAAAAACATATTTGGTATGGGTTTTAATTGGGGCACCAATGGAAGTTGCAATGTTCAGTGTTTTACAGGCCACTTTGGCTTGCTAAGTCTGACTCACACTATACCATCACTTTCCCCATGACACATCATAGCAATTTTGGCATGGAGCAGGTCAAACCGGGTAGGCATGTGTGACACCAACAAAGGCCTCTGGAGCAATTGGAGTTGCCTCCGTAGCAGCTTTTGCCTTCTGGTTGCCAGCCGTGGGGAACATGTATGAGGTCCTAGCCAATGCCAAGCTAAGCCAAGCTATGTATATATGTTTATCTATCGGCACTAAACGGCAGCACACTCATCACAGCATACTTCATCTTTCTCGCTCTTTCTCTTTATATCATTTTATATCTCTGTATCGCCGTCCGGCAGTCACTGCCAAAGGGACACATATAGTAAACATCTGTTGGGAACATGTGGAAGCACCTTCCATTGGGGTCATGAATTCCATGTCAATCCATGTCATATGACCATCCCAGCATCACTGGCAAGCATTGAACACGACACACTTACTAATCTCGTCCTCCTGAATACATCCCAACTCATGAATAGATCAAATCATATCAGATACAATCTACTAGACCAGGGCTTTAACGGGGAGTATCTAGTAGGGGTATGAAATCCATTAGCCTCGATCCCATAAATTGCTGATAAGTATACAATCCCACTCAACCCATGAATTGCTAACAGTAAGATTTGGCGGTCAAAACCCTGGTAATCTGACATCGAAATAGTCGGTAAATTGATGTTCATCCCCCAACCTGCTTGCTACCCATCCCAACCCTCAGTTCATGGCCTGAATAGTGCGTGGCGGCACCACCAGGCCCACCCTGGCGTGGTCACGGCTGGAGGTTGACCCCCAGCTGGTTTGAGATCCTCAAACGGATCAGGTCGCCACAAAGTGGGTTCAGAATGCTGCCCCATTTTAGACCCATACCCAAGGTTTATGCCGGCCCCCCAGTTGTATTACTTAGCTTATCTTGCCCCATCTCACTAATAATTAGTCCGATATATTCCCCATAGATTTTACTTGGGGGGCATCCCAGCTAGTAAGCGGGTAATAATATAGAATATTAACAGTTCCATATGGGTTACAGTACAGACCACGCACCAACTGAACCCCACGCATCCCAAGTAGTTAGCCTAGTTATCAACCATAAGTTACCTATGATTCTATGATCGGCCAAGTATCAATCACCAGTTTGGGTTTCTTCAACCCCCCATTTTTTCCACTATTTTAGTGGTTGAATCCCAATTTTCCATGGCTTGAACAGGCGGGACTGACTTGGCCATGTTGGGCAAAGGATAGATGCCGCCGCGTTTGACGTCAGCGGGGCTCGCAGCTGGCGGAACGGCGAGGCTCGCTGCGCTCGCATCCGCCTGGAAGTGACTAACGGGTGGTTGCCTTTCGTGCTGTTTTGTGGAATCAGATTATATAATTATAAAAGAAATATCTATATTTATGTATATATATAATTATATACATTATAATTGCCAATACTTGTGAATTATTATGAATTATTGCCAGCACTTATAGAATCCGTCCAGTGATATTGGAATTGTATATATACATGGAATTACCAACATGGAGGTTTCTTGATCATGGCCATGAATTGGTTTCTGCACCAGCAATACCATATGTTTTTTGGGGCCCAAAACCATTTGACATACATTACCTGGTCGAGGGGAAACAATTCAGCGCATAAGGAATTGTCGGATTATCGGGTCACCCAATGGTTCACGACTGCAATCACTCTTGGCGCAAGAATGCAAAGTATACAGAAGAAAGCACATCAAAGATCGCTGCTTGTCATGCATGCGACCTCCTGTTTCAGCTGGGCAGGGGGCGGAATGACTCTGGGAGGCACAACCTTAGGCCATTAACAGGTCAATCAACATCAACTGACAGCTGATGATGCCTCGCCCAAGCCGGTGACCCTTGCAGCTACAGCCCCGGGCTGCAAAGCTCCCACCTTGGTGACACTTGTGGAATCAGCTAACCCCATCCCCCAAATATTGATCAAATACCACCAACTAGGCTAAGCCCCAAAAAAATGAAAAGATATGAATCAATATGAATATGAATATATCGATCCAATACACACCGAGGTTTCGCTTCGGGGTATTTAATCTTAGGCTCGCGTTGCTTTAAAGGGAAAGCCTGCGGGAAATCAGTATATCTGATCGTAAAAAACCATGGTTCAGCCGCGTAGACTTTCCCTCAAAGGTCCGAGCTGGCACAGCCATGTTTGCAGCCTGAGCTCAAGATGCAACTGGTCTCACCAGGCCAACATCTGCAATTCAGTATGAATCAATGGATGGTTCAAAGGCTTAGGCATAGTCATGCAAATTTGATATGAATAGACCCCAAATCCACCAATTCATCAAGTTCCACATCTACATACATAGACGTAGCCAAAACGATCCAAAACCCTTGCAGCGAGCTGAGCCGCTGACCCCACCCTGAAGACCTGCCGCAAGTGCTTTGGCGGCCGGGACATCAAGGCTGGAGGCCTTAGCCAAAATCCAAAGGGACCACGGCAGGGGCAGGTAGCTTAACATGGTGAGTTTCATGGGTGATTTTCCATCGGATTTTCCATGTTCGATTACCTAAGGGTAATTCCAAAATTTTAAACGGATACAAAGGTGTCCAAGCTCCATGCCGTAGATTGGGCCTTGGCAATGCCTGCCATGGTCTCATTCTCTGCTTGTGCCTTTGCTGTCGTAGCAGCCTCCAATTGGGGACCCAAAGGGGTCACTGTGGAGGGGAATCCTCTCAATACATTCGGGGTTCAGGTGGCAAAAGCCTTAGAAATTCGAGTTATTCTCAAGTTACTCTGAGTTCGAAGTTCATATTAGGATAGGGCTAACCCATATGTTTAACAGTTTTCACACCATATGTTTGCCGACTTTGACGCCTTCAGCTAGCAGGCAACCTGATGAGATGATGGTTTTTGCCTGGTTTGAACCATAAAAGATGCTGTGACTCATAATACTCATAGCGTTTTCTATGCCCTGAAACGACCTAGCTAATAATTTTGATGGGTTTTCTTCTGGGTGCCAAACTAATTACCCCAGCTCCACCATCAGCAGGATCCCTTTCTTAAAACCAACCCCGCCTGCAGAAATTGTTCCAGCTCTTCTCTTTGCTCCCTTTCTGCCTGCTCCTGTTGCTCCAGTGCTGCTTTCTTCTCCGCCTGCTGCTGGGCCTGTTGCTTCGCTTGCTGCTCCTGCTGTCCAGTGGTTCATGATTCATGTAAACAATTGTTTGTTCCGAGAAGGTCGAGAACTGTGGAAATTGGAAAACAATAAAAGTCTTGGGGGGATATCACGGATCATCATCTCATTTCAGAATTGTTTTTTTGATGTCAAAATTGGTGAAAGAACCCGCTTCCAAATTTTCCATCAGCATGTCACCTGCAATACGTTGGGTCCTCTGCTCGCTTCCTTGCTGTCTGCGCCATTTGTGAAGCTCGCGCCTGATATTTTTTTTAGACCAAGGTGATGGCAAATCGACCTGCAAACCAAAGAAATTCCAGCATTTCTAGTCATTTTGGAGATCTAGACCATTCTAGACCCCTTATGATTGCAACCAATTCTCCAAATCTTTAGGGGGACCCTTCCAGGCCTCGGCTTTGCGTCTCTCCATCTCCTGCCGATGTTGAGCGCTCCATACGTTTTTGAGTGCGCCGAAGACCCAGGAGGGCATCAAAAGCATATTGAAATTCATCCAATCACTTTGGGTATGGGCGGTATGGGTCAAGATGAAGCAGCCCTCACACATCATCAAAAATCATCAAAAATCTCCCCATTTTGTCAAGATATGTCAAGATATGTCAAGATCATCATCCCACTTTGGCCTACAGTATGCCATAGTCGTTCTCTCAATGCGACAACTTGTCGGGCCTGCTGCTCTAGAACTCCTGCAAAGTCCCGAGCCAGAAACCTGAGCGAACACCAGCACTTGGGGGCGCAGTTGGATGTATTGATGGGTATAACATGGTGTAACCATGCGGACAACCCCTATATAATATATATAATTATATATATACATATTGCATACCAGTTGGGACATGACGCTTTGGTGATTGCCCCAGCCCTCGCAAAGGGATTTGTCAGTTGAGATCACGTTCCACAAGAGATTATATATACTGTATATAATGCAAAAATATCCAAACCAACAATAGAAAATGGTGGCAGCCCATCTTAAAGTCCAACGAAACTCAGGCATCAACAATTCTGCAAGAAGAATCAAGAAGAGAGTTTTTTTTTGTGTATCTAAACATATCTAAACCACTAAAACCATCAGCCGTTTCATCTTGCGGCTGGAGGACTTGTTGAAGTCCTTGTCACTCTCCAAATGTCGCAACAAGCGCAGCACCTGCAGAGGTCGAGGCTTCGCGGGGTTTCCCCCGCTGCCGGGGTCCGAAGTGCGACCCCACCGCCAGCCTTGGCCGGACGCGTCTCGCAGCACCTGAAGATGGCGTCGAACCTCCAGGCGCGAACAAAACTGAACAAACAGGCCAAAGTTTGTTGTCCTAAGTCATAAACATTGCCAAAGACATTGGCTTTCTTTGGAGTCAGTTGTGAATCAGCAGCTTCATGCCAAAAGGATCCAAAAGGATCCAAAAGGATCCAAAAGGGTCGTTTCGAACAATTCTTTCAGACAAACGGAATGTGATGGAATGTACAGTAACTCAAGCTCTAGTTTGAACAAAGCCCTGGACTTCGCTTCAAAGAGCTCTTCCACCTGCGAGCTAAACGGTATCACCGGGAAAATACTCAATATATCATACTGGTGCCCACAAAAGATCAACAAAAATTGTTTCCAGGATGTTACACATGATATTTACCTTTATCTATGTTCCAGGTTGCCACCTTATGCACCAAAACCAGTGATCATCAGCTGAGAAGAGCAACCAAATCCTCGGTTTTGCTTGTCGTCAGTCATCGGGTGCCTCTGCAGCATAATCATCTACGTCTCCAGCCACCAGCAAATCATAGCCTCAAGAACTCGGTCTGTGCAGTGCAAAGTGTTCTTTGGCAAAACAAAGGGTTACCGTTTTCTTTTAACATCACATAGCAATTTATCCGTCTCTTCTTTGGACTTTCCATGCCTCAAATGATGGCAAATTGCAAGCTTACAAATAGCTCTGGACTATTTTGTGATTGGGAAACTTCTGGCTACCAAAATTTCATGGGGAAAATGAATATGTCCTTACTGCTCCCTGGCTCCCTTCTAACCACCGGATAGTGACTGATAGTGGAACTCAGTAAGCCCAAGGCAGGTTTCGCCATCTTCTTCTTTCTCCCCCCACATTGCGAACGCCTCCATGCAGGCCTCCGAGAATTGGCAGAATTCTCAGCCAAAGGAACTCCCTGTGAAGACAACTGCTGGGATTCATGGACATATTCCAGGATATTCCAGGGATATAGTTGGGATATAATGGGAATATAATATGACAACTGATAATAAGGCGATACGGGTTTCTAATGATCATTGGATTGTTTTAAAGGGCAATTTGTGGCAGCAGCCCATTGGTTTTCTTCCTGCGTTGCGCATCCCATCACCGATCACCCGTTGCCACCTTGTGCTCCCCATCACCGAGCGAGAGTTCCCGCGCAATCGTCTCACACCTGAGTGGCTGGGTTTGCCATGTAGGGGGCTGTAGAAAACAAAGCACATTCCCAATAATAGACTACCCTCTGGTAAACTAACATAGCTATTGAAAATGACCATTTATAGTGAGTTTTCCCATTTAAAATGATGATTTTCCATGGCTATGTTAGTCATAACCAGATGGTCATAGAGTACCCAAGGGGTGGATTGACTAATCGGAAAAGTTTTTAACATGCAGAGCAACTCCAGGAATATTTGAATATTAATTGTTGGGGCCCACATTGGAGGCTGCAGAAGCACTGGTCGATGGTTCCCAAACAGCCCAAACATATCATATAAAGTCAACTTAGTCAACTGGATGATCTGAATATATCTGAATGCAACCTGCATCCAATAAATGCTCCATCAACTCCACGCAAATCAGCAAATGTCCCAACTGGTTACACTGGTTTGGTGTCGGATGTGTGGGATCTCTGCATCGCGTGAAGAAAACCTGAGCTAGGTGCTTGCGCAAGCGCACCTGACGGCTAGATCCCGACAATGGATTGATGACCATGATGATCGCATGCACAAATGATGTGTATGCACATTTTTTGTAATCTATGCCCATATATTGCAACAAATATATTAATGATGGTAGTTAATATGTCAGTTCTTGATACTTAAACAATGTGAAACATATACCTCATATTTCAGTCTCCATACTTGATCATTCCTACATCCTTGCTTCAAAGCTGGTCTTGCAATGGGTATGGTTCAAGCTTTGAAAGAAACCAGGGCACCATAGATTTCAATTGCATTTATTATATTGCATTTTGATATTATTTTTGGTAGTAAACATTGCTAAACCCTGTCTTCTTGCGAGCCCAAGGCCTTAAATGTCAGTCCTTTCCGACCGCAGCTGCCTTCACATGATCCGACGGCAACTCTTTGTTTGCCGAACGCCACAGCAGTTTCAACCTCGAGCCGTGACTCAGGACTTACTCTGTTGGAGATCACCTGACGTTTTTGGAGACGACCAGCCTATAGGTAACCAACATAACTAACCAGGGGTAACCACGCTTGTCATGTCATGTCACTTCTCCGGGGTTCACGTTTCTTCATCATTCGCCATGCTGGGGCATGCTGTATGCTGCCTCCGAGGCACACCACGCTGATGCGCTCCTCTGACCCGGGCACGATCTCGGCAGCGCCGGTGATCCTCCGGCTGCGATTCTCTGAGGATACATGGTAGTATGATGGGTATCGTATTTCTACTGCAGTTGATGACAATTGTGGCAGTACATGCTAGGACTTCATCGTTGTGATTTCTGAGATCTTCGATGGTTAAGTAGAATCACCAGCTGCCACTAACAGTCATCGAGCTGTGCAGTCTGGTCCAACTTGATGAGTTTCGATATCTCTTCATATCTCTTCATATCTCTTCCATATATGCCATAACAGCAGCACCCACTTCAGGGCGCAGTTCCAGTTATACGTGCATATTTATAGGATATTCCACATTTATAGGGGTTATGTCAAACTATATCCCAACTTATGCAGGCTATTACCATGGTCATACCCATAACCCCCACTGCATCCCCAAGCACTACCTGACCTGGTCTGAAGCTTGACGCGAGGATCGCTGAGCTTCAAAATGCCAAGCGCTTCGATCACCTGTTCATCTTTGGCCTCGGCGTGCCCAGGCCCTGGGAAGTGGGGAAGCTAGGTGTGATACTCAGTACTTGACCTTGATCGTGTACAAGACATTTTATGGGTCTTGGGTCTTGGTAGTCTGCCATCATAGCCGACATATAGCATACATTAACTGAAGGCCTTGGATGAAATGGCCAGTCTACCAGATTGGAAATGGCACACCCCACCCACATTTCATGCCTCCGACTTTTGCGAAGTTGGCTCAAAAGTAGATTATCTTGGGTTTGTGGTACATATATTGTAGTTATATATGTAGAAATGTATGTAGATATATGATATGTAGATATATGATATGTAGATATAAGTAGATACATATATATATGTAGATATATAATATATATATATATACATATTTGGATATATATGTAGATACATATATATGTAGATATATATGTAGAGATATATGTAGATATATGTAGTATGTCGATATATAGATATATCTCGAGCCTGATGAGTTTATACACCAACTTAAAACTGGGGTGCACCGTGTGCCGCCCTTAGCATCTGCCCTGCCTGAAGTCGTGCGGCCGAAGGGAAGTGGCTCTTCGGATGGTCCAAAATCTCGGCACCGTGGAAGCGTAGGAGGCAGTGCGGAATAGAAAGGTATTAAAGTGGGATTTAAATGGTATTAATTCACAATATAAATAAAAACAAACATAAATGAATATATATATATATTATATCAAAGTAATAAAGTGGGCAGGACGGATGTTATCAATATGGATCCATATTAAAACATGTATTAACATTGAAATAACTTAAGTAGGCTGTGGAAATGAAAAACTCCGCGTCAACTGACCCTTGCTCCGAGCTTCTGGCCCCTAGGAGCTGCAGACCCTGGGCAGGTGTCAGCATCGCAGCTTTGGTGACATCATCATTGAGCACCGGAACCACCTGGTCGTCCAGTCATGTCCAGTCTGCAGCTTGGGGATCTGACATGATCTGACGGGAGGGATGACCTACCAACCAAACCAACCAATAATGTTTGGCTTTAGGGGCTTGGTGAAAGCATGGTTTGCCAACAGTGACGGGTGAACCTGCAGTTTGGTCCCGACCCCTATCTCCATGGTTGTCCATCTCCCAAGCATCCTTGCAGGGTATAGTATATACCTACTTCAATTTGCTTGAAAAATCACCCAAGTACAAATAGATCCACTATATACAAAAATAATCTTCCCAGGTTTACATCTATGTGCACATATGTGCGCTTTTCTGGTAAATTCACTCTACAGCAGCTTCCAAACATGATTTAATATTATTTTCATCTAAAATCCTATGGCTTATCATGGTTTATCATTATATTCCCCCCAAAAACTAGACATCCCATGGTGCCCCATGGTTTATCATCATATGTCCCCATTAAAGTAACCATGTTCGCCATTCAATGGGGCGACCATGACTGCACTGAGGTAACAGCTCCACCAGGACCAGGGCCATACGCCGGACTGAGTGCAGAAGCTTCAAACAAAATGCGATGTGTATCATGTACACATGATATCATATCACGCATATGTGTATATATATATATATGTATGTGCATGTGTGTGTGTGTGTGCATGTGCGTGTACATATATATATATATTTAAATGTATATATATAATTAAATGCACATATATATATATATATACATTTATAGATATAAATGAGTATACCACACAATATGTAGTTAATTATATATATATTATATATAATTGTAAACATAAAGTGTCAACGTCTGATGTTGCAGCCTTGCTGATGCGAAAATGCTAAGGCTGTGGCAGCCAGCGAGCTGGAAAGCGACCCTTGCCAAGGCCTGAGATGGTACAAATGTCCAAACAGAACTCCAAGAAGCCATCTGCAAGACGTATGTTGACATATATAATAATGTGGTAAAACCAATCATACACCCCCATTTGATGGGTCTTACCAGCCAACACGTGATTTTATGATATAGGCCGCCGGCCCCAAAAAGATGGAACTTGTTACCCTCTGGTAAACGTTTACATAGCGAACTGGAAAGATCCACCATTTTTTATGGGAAAATACACTATGTCGACTGGGCCATTTTCAATAGCAAACTGTTGACATAACCAGAGGGTAAGATCCAACCTTTCCTGAGCGTCCGACCAGGTCCCTCCTGAACAAATGGCGCGAGAAATCACCGGCCGAGGGCCCCTAGGGCTGTAGACTGTCACGACTGTCACCCCGCCTTGCAGAAGAGCTTGAGGTTTGGCACTATCTTCTGCATGGCCTGACATTTTTCAGAGGTTGAAAAGCACAATTCATAGAAAACATCGAGAAAAACTCGGATAAACAGTTTCTGTCATGGAAAATTGACCAGACAAAATCACATGTTTGCCTGAAGATCATTGTTGCATTTGTATCCATTTGAAAAAATCAGGATATTCAATTTCCAAATGGATACAAATCGGATATTCCAAATGGATTATCATTTGTTGCATTTGTATCCTTCATGGATTATCATTTCCAAATGGAATATTCCATCATTATCCACTTCAGTGATCCCATGAAAAAATCGCACCTGCGGAGGCTTCAATTTCAGCTTCGTGGCCTTGTCCAAATGCTTTCACCAAGAGTCAGCATCAGTAATACAACTACCTGGTAGATCCTTAGATTGGAAAAAACATGGATCTATTTCTAGAAAACCAGGTATGTAAAATCAGTCAGTTCAAACCCTGATAAATCGAGACCCCAAACTATCATCCAATCGGATAAACTGAGACCACTCGACACACCGTGCCTCTGCTGCAAGGGATGCCAACCTGCTTTGGATCGGTTTCCAATGCCCACCAACCGTGGCAAGCTGACATCCACAGGTTTAGATGTTGAAATGTGTGGAAACCGTCTAACTATCAATTAACAATTCGGAATTTCACATTGTCAGATTGCCAAGAGGGTAAGCCGACATCATCTCAAGATTTCATATAGCTGCAAGTCAAATTAACAAATTTGGATACTTGGACATCTACTAACTTCTAAAAATTGCCAAAAATCGTTTTTTTGGGGGTCTTCAGCCGTCAATCTTAGATACCCTGGAACAAGTTATGAGTTTTTAGCTGCTTAGGCTAAAACAATCTAAAACATAGTCCAAACGAAATGGTTCAAAAAAATGTATCACACTAATTTCCCTTCAACAAACACCAACCATCTCACAATTTTGGCTGGTTATATCCAAACTTTCCTCGATGATCTTGGATCGTTCATGATAATTCTACGTTTTTGGGGCCATAAACAAATTAAATCCGTTTCCAGTAAATTCATGTAGATTCCCGATCTCTGGCAGGTGAACTTGCTAATGGGAACACAGAAGATCACCTCTACAAGAAATCTTTGTCAGTTCCCAAGAGTGGGTGAGTGATTTATATATCTTGCTGCTTGGTTTGGTTGTGTTATGTAATCCAGTTGGTGTACTAATTTATCCAACTATCCCATTATTTTGGCAGTCACCTCCTCATTATTTTGCTACTTAAATCCCAATTCTCCTAGATTAATGTCAACACTGGATTAATATAACCAAGTAACTATTGATTGGGAGGTTCCCCCCCAAATAGTGATAGATTACTTGATATGGTAACGCTCCTTTTCCCCTACGAATACGGGTGGTTGCTTATCCTTGGTGAAGAGTACAATATAATACTGTAATAATAATAACAACAATAATAATAAAATAATAACAACATACATAAACATATTACAGTATATATAATAATGATAATAATATAATAATAATAATAATTAATAATAATAATAAAAAATATATATATACATCACTTATGAAAAAAAACAACGGTGAAATTACAATTATATTTGCAGACTTATAGATGTTTATCCCCAATAAACCAATATTTTACAAATGATTTTCTCACCTTAGGCACCCTCTGTAGGGCGGTTATCCAACGGTGACGGCCGAGGTGCGCGTGCGTCAGCGCCGTTCGGAGCTCTTCGCTGGGGTTCTCCGGCTCGAAGCTGCAGCACCAGGAGACGAAGGCCTCAGGATGGTTGCGAAATCCAGCAGTTGGTAGATGGTTGATCCCATGATCATCATATTATAATCATAGTAATAATAATATAATGGTTAGTAAAAATATCATATAATAATAGCTGGTTAGATTACTATTACTACTATAGATGGTTAATATAATAATAATAGTGATAATAATAGATCAACATAAAAATAGAAATAATCAATGTATACATATATATATTTATATATATATATATGTATGTATAGTCGTCCCGGAATAGATAGAAAAGTGCCAAACCTCGAAAAGCGATCTAGATTATAGATTTTGGGCCTACTTTTCCATCTATTGTATCGTACTGTTTTTTGCGGTAAATCGTGCAAAAAACGTGTTTTTCTGATGATTCTGGAAACATATTTTACTGTAAATAGCGAATCAATATAATAGATGGAAAAGTAAAACGTTGCGAAAACCCGGTCGATACAATAGATGGAAAAGCACCCTTTAATTCAGTTTTTGCAGTTTCCAGGGGAAAACTAACAATATGGTCCTTCTCTGGTCCTTCTCTGCAATGATTTTGAGTTGTTTGGTGACTTTTTGCAGGTTTCAGGTAGATTTCCATCTATTGTATCCTCATTTTTTCCATGGTTTTGATGTTGCACGGTCGATGGGGTACCTTCGGGAAAGTCGGGATTGAAAATCTAGATCCCGTTTCGAGCAAAGCCTGCCCAAAATCTAGATCGTTTCGGAGGGGGGATTTCTCGAAACGCTTTTCCATCGAGACAAAGTGTGAGACAAAAGGCCGCAGCAGCAGGCGTCAGAGGAGCTATCACCCGTTGCCACCAAAAGGTTGGGCAAAAAGTCTAGCAGCCCACTGTAGCTGGATCAGAAGCATGTCGAGGATTGCAGCGTACATGTGTGTTTCAGGCGTCTGTATCTACTATATTCCTTTTTTTGTTTTGGAACAGGATTAACATGATTACTGTGGGATTCACCCAATGCCATAAACCTACCATTTGGGGATGGTATGAAAAACCAGCCATAAAAATGGTCATGACTTGGGGATGCCTTATGATGTTTACATGTTTATATGATTTATATGTTTATGGCATTCGGCGAATCCCACATTATGTGTATATCTATCTATCTATCTATCTACCTGCCTGCCTACCTACCTATCTATCTAACTATCTACCTAACTATCTATCTAACTATCTATCCTATCCATCCTATCCATCCTACCTATCCTAGCTATCCTATCTGTCCTATCCATCCTATCCATCCTTTCCATCCTATCCATCCTATCCATCCTATCTCTCCTATCTCTCCTATCTCTCCTATCTCTCCTATCTCTCCTATCTCTCCTATCTCTCCTATCTCTCCTATCTATCCTATCTATCTAATCTATCCTATCCATCCTATCAATCCTTTCCATCCTATCCATCCTATCCATCCTATCTCTCCTATCTCTCCTATCTCTCCTATCTCTCCTATCTCTCCTATCTCTCCTATCTATCCTATCTATCTAATCTATCCTATCCATCCTATCCATCCTATCTACCCTATCTATCCTATCTATCCTATCTATCCTATCTCTCCTGTCTACCCTACCTATCCTATCTATCTAATCTATCTAATCTATCTAATCTATCTAATCTATCTAATCTATCTGTCTATCTCTCTATCTATCTATCTATCTATCCTATCCTATCCTATCTATCTATCTATCGATGTTGTATCTATTAGATGGCCTGAGTTTGCATTTCATCTTACAATGGCAGTATACCGTATATATATATATATCATGTTCTTTCGCTCCTGTATGCCACTGGTCCTTGCTTCCATCTGCTACCTGCGTGTTGGCGTGCTGTGCCACATATTTCTATATATGAAATATGGATGTCCCATATTTTTCTAGACAACAAAATGCATCATAGCCATAGCCATAGCTGTTTTTGTCTTGCCAGATTACATGTATGTATTGTATGTATGCATACTATAACGTTTGTGCATGTGTGGGACATCAGTTCTGGGATACTCCTTGTGCACCATGTGCCACCAAGAATGCTAAGACTCGGGCTTCAGTGCATGCCTTGGCCATTGACATCATGACATATCATGACCCCCTCGTAGACATGACAATGAACAATCTCCGTCTATGGACAAGAAAAACACCTCTACAAACAGGTGGATTTCCATTGCCATGTTGGGTTACCAGAGAATAACCCAAACTCCCAAAAAACTGCAAACAACATCAAACACCTCAGAGGATCGACACTATGCTTCTTCTCCTCAAGGCGCTGAGTTTTTGTCTTAGCCCCACACTCGGCTGGGTCGTGTGGCAATGTCCACCAGAGCGAGCACATCATCCGCAACATCCCGCAGCGGCCAATCAGCAGAATGAACATCCACCAGCCATTTCCTGAGCGTCTGCCAGAATGAGGTGAATGTTTTTTAATGCTCTGGCTACTAATTCGGAGGTTACCACAAAAATTGTGATGAATTACTTCTAGTATCTTCTAGTGCAGCTCACTTACAAGAAGACTGGCAAGACTTCACAGAATGTGCAGAGAAAGCTCCACTTACATTGATTCCATATGGGTGGATTTTGCTAGTTTCCATTTCTTGGTTGGGAGTCTAAGCTGATGACGCCTCAATGAGAGCTTTCACCTCTTCCGCTTGTTCTTGGCTGGCACCTAGCTATAGAGTCAGGGACAAGCCAGAACACTGCGAAGATGCTGTTTTGGGATCTTGTATGAGTGTGCGATGGTGTGCGTCTATTACGCCCTGCCACATATAACCATGGCTCTCACAACATACACTATCCCATCAACTTGGGCGACTTTGACCACGAAACCAACTATAATTTCTATCAATTGTCTGGGATCAATCTAGTCAATCGCCATAGGCCATAGATGGCTTGTCGGCCTTGTATCAGTTTGGGCCTATATACTCTATCTATCTAATCTAATCTAATCTAATCTAATCTATCCATCGATCTATCCAAACCTCCTCGGGGATGACCCCCCGACATCGACCTGTTTGAGGCACCACCAAACGTGCCGCTGTCAGACGATCGGCTCCGTCCAACATGGCAACAGGCGCGGGAAAGACCTGGGCCAACGGGGATGTCATGGGAAAATTATGGGAAAATTACGGGAAAATCATAGGAACATATGGGAAAAATATGGAACACCTACTATAAATCAAACAAAAACATAGACAACTTAATAGACAACCCACTATAAATGGAGGTTTCTAGCTGGGAAAATCATTGAACTAAAAAACTAAATTGGCAAATTTCAGCACGCCATGTGTCTGACTACCAGAGGGTAAACCATATGGGTATATATGGGCATATAGCAACCCATAGCCCATAGCAACCCTAAAATAGATAGAAAAGTGGAACACCTGGACATATGGACTGAATATCATCATCTATAAGTCAATAATAAGCATACCATGTGGGGATGATGTCGCAGTTATGGTTATATCAGGGGTGGATTATTCTTGGGTTTGCAATATTATAAACTATATGGGGGCTGAATTTTCCCATCAATTTTTTGTTCATGGGATAGACACGTTGAATATGAGTGTAAACGACAAAATGATGTAAGAATCACAAGAAACCAGACTTCTGTCAACCCCTGTCCCTTGGCCCTCCAGAACCACCAAAGTTCTCCCTCCACATGGGGCTTCTGAAGCTTGTCAAGCACCACAAATTTGGAACAGCACTTTCACCATTTCCATGTGGGTTGCGGGTTCATCGTCAATTTTGAGAGTATCCCATATAAAGGATATGTCCCATTGCCAGTGGATGATATATCTATCCCATTAAAGCACCCCACCAAAATAGAAGAGCATATAAATCGCTACTTATTTTAGTAGGATTCTATTCTTCCATCATTTTTGGGCTTGCTATATATTATATTCATAACCAAGCTGAATTTTCCGGACCCGAAATCTCGCCGTGTCAAGTGGCCGGCAAAGAGCCTAGGGTCTTTAACTTGGACCTGGCTGAGCGCAGTCATCAACCCATTAGTGAAATCGGGGATGGCCCAAATTCACCCCGTTGGGTCCACCTCTGTGCCGGTTTCAAATTCCCTCCCCGGTGCGCGTGCACCACTGCACGCCACAAGGGTTCCGGAGCTTCTGAGGCCGCCTTCAGCAGCGCTTGCTGATTCTATAACGCTCAAGGCGAATATCGTTAATGTAGGTTAATGTGATATGACATATGACTCATTTATATCTTCTTATTCCATGTATTTGGAGGAAAAAAACATGCTTAGTGAGTTTAGTGTTTAGGATTGTTTATTAGGCACCAAACCGAACCATGATTCACTGTGGCAAACCTTCCGCGCTGCTGCAGCTCCCAAGGAGGCCAGGCGTTCCACTGGAGGTTCAGGGGCCACCTCAGGTGCCGGAAATTATAAAAAACGGCACAGGTATATTGGGAAACTTTGGGGAGAATCATCTGTAAAATGGTGATTTAATGGGAAAAATATGGGGAAATCATACTATAACTAAAATTTGATATGATGCGGATTTAAATGGGAAAACCATTCCATGAATGGGGGTATGGCAGGACCCACAATATGGGAGATAATGGGAAAGGATGGGAACATCATCAATGGGGATATTTCATGGGATACATAACCAACAACATGATATGTGGTAAGGATAAAACCACAGTTTGCCGATAGAAATGTATCATTATTTTGGGATTAAGACCCCCGGAACCACCCGAATGGGCCTCAATTTATGAGGGCTCGACATCACTGAGGTTAATTAATTGTGTTTGGTTGAGCATCTTCGCCAGTAGATTTGACATGAGAAGGTTGCAGTCTTATATCAATACATATATATATATATATCAAAAAGATAATGAACTATATTATAATATATTATAATTGACCTTAGATACCGCTGGAATTGGGGGACTTGTCACTGAGCGAAGAAATCCTGAGCAACTGAGGAGCCTGGCCGTGCCCCAGGCGAATAGGCTCTTGACTGCCTCGCGAAGTGCTGCTGTCTTTGCAGCTTTCAAATTTTCCATCGTATCATCGTCTGGCTTTTCTGGTTAGCTCTGATCACTCAAAATTGATATAAGTGGATATTTTCCTGGATCATTGTCCGAAAATTGTGAGATATTTTATATCAGTCTCGCTTGTGCAACAAGCAGCACCCATCAAAATCCTGCCCATTGGTTCCACCGCATATTTGTACACTTTTGTACACATGGCTTCGGGCTTGTCTGGACATGACACATCCCCATATTCCCCAAATTGTATATATATATGATATATATAATATATATTATATATATATATATATACATTAGTTGTGAGATGTAAAGCATAGATACTCAAACGGTTCACTCTATCCAGGCTCACATCCGCATGGCTTTTTCTTCCCAAACTCTTCGTGCGGTCTCAACCTGCTCCTCGCAGGATAGTGCTTTGGAACGCTGTGCAGGTAGTCTCCTGCACAGCAGCACTGGTTGGATCCGTACACCCTGTTCCGCACTCCTGTAAACTCAGGAGGCTACACAGGTTGAATCTCTCCCACCCAGTGCTACAGTCGTGGGACTCCACGTAGAGATCAGCATCCTCAATGATGTGATCCCCTACAAGGGAGGATACTCCACCGGAGTCCTACCTCATAGGGAGGGAAGGGAGGGAAAAGAAAGAGCGATGAAGCCAGTTTGGCTCAGACTTGAGCCAAAATGGATTCATCAGCTTACATACTCACCCTAATGATAATGCACACCCAGTGCCTGCCAAACACGATGCATACATACATTAGTTGTGAGATGTAAAGCATAGATACTCAAACGGTTCACTCTATCCAGGCTCACATCCGCATGGCTTTTTCTTCCCAAACTCTTCGTGCGGTCTCAACCTGCTCCTCGCAGGATAGTGCTTTGGAACGCTGTGCAGGTAGTCTCCTGCACAGCAGCACTGGTTGGATCCGTACACCCTGTTCCGCACTCCTGTAAACTCAGGAGGCTACACAGGTTGAATCTCTCCCAATGCACTTCATCCCAAAGCACTCAGAGAAACTCCACAACCCGGAGAAACGCGGGAAGTGGTAGAGACCAGATCTCGAAGGGGAAAAATGCAAAATGCGTGGTGAACCCATGGCTTTTGTGCCATGTTGCCTGGAGGCCTTCACGGCTGATCTCATCAGACCAGTTGGCCTTGCTAGGGATCCACTCCCAGAAAAACCAAGCCTTAAGCCCAAAAAGAGTAATATGAATCAACCGTGACATATGCTCTAAATCTGCATTGTCAGAACGACCTCGGATCAATGCCATCAACGCTGCCGTGTTGTCGATGAACCAGAGCCCTCGTCTGCCTCGAAATCTGGACGGCCGAGAAAACAAAGCATAGAGCACTTGCAGCAGCTCTAATTGGGCAATCTTCTTGTCACCAGGCTCCCATAGGCTGTACACCAATGGGGGAATGAGAGAAACAAATGCCTCTCTGTGTTGCCGGTGATGGTCATGCCATACCACCAAAAAGCCCCCAGTCCCCTGACCTGGGCTCTCCAATGCAGCATCCGACGCAGCAAGGAAGCGGAGCCCTGCATGTGGCCAGATCTCAATGTGGCGAGAGGGACGGGTGGTGATGACCGTACGTAGCAGGTCAAAGCTCTGGCGCAACTCCTCAGTTAACTCTGCGGAGCGCTCCTGCTGTCTGCGCTTGATTGGGGCCAAGCCACCGCAGCCAATACGCCCCCACACGCCAAGCTCAAAGAAGTTGGCGATACCGTAGAGCTTGGCTGCCACCCCTGGTTGCAACTTGCCGGATTCCTCGGCAGTTTGCATGAGATGAAGCAGCTTGGTCTCGATGCGTTCACGGGCCCAAAACTGAACCAGACCCTTCAAATGGACTTGACTGAAGTCATGATCCAGGCCCAGGAAGGTGCCGGTACTCTGCATCTTCTGACATTTCTCCTCGGAAAATGGTGTACCCAAAAGGGTGTTGAGGGTCTGCAAAGCTCTCTGACCTGACCCTCGGCACGATTTGCGGTCTGTCAAATGAGCATCATCAAAGTACAGACTGGTCAAACAAAAGGCAAATCGACGTGATAAAGCCTCCACAAAACGACTGTATCGATTGAAAGATGTGACCGCAAGAGGAAGACCAAATAGCAAACCTGTGTAAATCATAAACGCTGGTTGTTGCCATTCATGATGGAAGAAAGCCACAATGCAGCACAACGCCTCATCCCAACTCATAGGGCAAAAACGATAGGCATCCGGCCAATCCTCACCTCCAGACTCCCATTCTTCTGCCTCCCAGTTGGGTGACCTCCCAAAGGAGTAGGCATACTGCAGGTGTTGGGCCGGCCGCAACGCTGAGCAAAGGGTGAGCTTGTTCGCATCACTGGAACGCTCAGATTGCAAACCAACGTAGGCGTCGTCAATCACTCGTTGCTTCCCCGAGGATTGTGTGATGACGCATCGAGGGATCAACCGGTAGGGTTCCGCACCCAGACAACGCTGCAGTTCCTCTGCAGTCATGGGCAATCCACAAAAACCCTTCTCGGCATCTTTAAGGCTTTGCTGCAACAAAAACTCATCATCTGCACCTGGCTTGAGCCGAGCCAAAATGGTGTTGTTGTGGCTCTGCCAGTCCTGGAGTACCTCCTCTCTTGTCAAACGGGTGGCAACTTGTTCCGGAAAAATGCCATATGGCGGCGCGTACCCCACTGCTGGAAGCCCCATACACAGGCCTGCTGGCAGTGTCACGTCACCCCAATTGGCTACAAGAAGGAGAATTGCAGTGAAGCCGATGTCACGCTGCATTGTTGCCGTCCTGATGGCCTCGGTCTGTTTGCGTCTCAAATGGGCCGTGATCGAGCTCCACCGTCTCTTCAGCTCAGATAAGATGCCCGTGGCGCGCTCTCGCAACCTGCGCAGGTCAACTCCTGGCAGGCTAGAGAAAGATGCAGCAAACCTCAGGTCCTCGTCCAAAATAGGAAGCCCCTCAGTAGGCAACGGTTGCATGCTAAGCTGAAGGGCTTGCTCGAAATGCTGGTCTGGCTGAAGGTGAAAGGGCAGAAGAGGGGCCAGCGCCGCTCTGTGGTTGATCGCTCCCACCTGCTGACCTTCTGCCGTCCTCATCTTCTGCCGCACTGAAGGGGCTGCCAACACTGGGTTACAGCTGCCCTCCATGTCCAGCCCTTGTTGGTGGCGCCATCGCACAAACAGGTCAAGTGGGTGCTGGTTAACCAAGTCCTCCACAAAGGGGATGGCAACTCCCTCGAACCACTCGCCCGGGTACAGCTTCTTGAACGCTAACGCCAAGGACTCCTGCAGAATGTAAAATGGCCCAAAGGGGATGCCTGTAGCCTGCGCTACACTTGACAGGAGGACACGTCGGGTAACTCCCTGGTGACTCCTGCCAGAATGACCTTGGACTACCTGTGGGGCACTCCGCTGGCCTTGCTCACTCAAGCGGTCAAAAATCAACCCGGCTAGGAGGTCGGCCTCACAAGTTTGGGCTGCAGGGCAATCACAGACCAGCACTGATCCCTCGAGCTCATCCAACTCGCACCAGAGTGTCTCCCTGATGTACTGGACGTAGTAGGGAACCCAGTCTTGAGGGGTGCAATTCACGCCCACCTGCCATGGAGACTTCCACTTGGTGGTCGGTAGGCGGTGGGTATGACTCCCAAGCCCCACATACACATGACCGGGGGGAAGTGCACCCTGTTGCAAAACATCTTCAACACATGCTCGCGTAGGCACCCTAGCCGCTTCAGCTGTATCCAAAGGCCTCAAACCCAGGCTAATGGCCAGTGGGGTCATAGCCCACTCACGAAGTGCTCTGGGATCGAGGTCAAGCCAATGGTCCCGATGCCCGGTACAACTCGGCGATGGGGACCTCGGCACATAGAGCTTGGCGTGTCCAACACGCACTGCCCACCACGAAGCTGCCGTGGCAATTGCAAAACAGAGCTCTGCTGTATACTCGGACTCCTCAGCTGAAGGAAAATGGCGCTTACCATCCTGCACCCAAGGTTCCCATTCCTGGGGATCATGAAAATGGTTGCAGTCAGCTCGAGGCCATTGAGCGATCTCTGCAATGTTGTGGCGCAGCCGCTGCAGCTTCGATCTGGCGCCACCAAAGCAGCAGGCTGAGTACCGCTGATCGGACCAGCGACCGCTCTCCCACATCGCTACCTCATCCGGTGTCCACCAATGGAGGCTGTTGTATGGGTTCTCGCGGACTGATCCACCACCCCTGTCCACCAACTGATCGATCTCGGATAGCACAAAGCTAGCAGCCGCATTATCTTGCTCCACCCGTGTCTGCTGAGAACCTGTCAACTCAGGTAGACCCAGCGGGTGCTGCTCAGATCGCAACGGCCGAGGTGGTGGGCGTCCATCACCAAAATCCCGCGGAATTTCCCTCGCGCGGCTCTTGGTGGAGCAATCCAAAGCTGCTGCGATGAAGCATACAGACTGCAATTGCTCATGCAACGATTGCTGCCTGAGACTGTTGGATAGGTCATGACTCCTATCCAACACCCAGTCCACTGAAATGGTCTCCCAACCACAAAAGATGAAGGCCTTGGACAGAGGTGTATTAGGCCCCGCATAAAGGTCCGCCATACTTGGCAGCTGACAGTCGACTCTGTCTACGGGTCTTGCCTCATCCTGCCCAGCAGAAGTGCCCGCCTCTCCCGCTGGGCCCCGTCATGGCGAAATCTTCGCCCGACATTGGATAGCTCCATGCCCCGGCATACCGCAAATGCGTTCACCACGAACCACGATACCACACTTGTGCTGGCCTTGGGGGCAAGAGCTTTTGGGGTTCTTGCACTGTCCATGTTGGAAAGCCTGGCAAATCTTGGAGCCATCACGCATCACCTTGGCCACCTTCTTGCCACTGACTGGCTTGCCCAAAGCAAACTGGGATGGTGGCTGGACTGCTGCCGCAGTTACTGTGGTGGGCTTGCTCGCCTCTGCCTTGGGTGCTCCGGGCACCGCATGTGGTACCC